ATTATTTTAAATTTACATTATTTTAAAACATGAATGAAATTGTTTTGATTATTTTATATTATTTTATTAAAATAATATAGTTTTATAATATTTTTCTTTTTCACTTTTTTAAAGAATAGAGTAACAAATACTAATATGTTGTGTAAATACAAAATATATAAGAAAAAATGTTGATCAATCATATTGGTAAAAAAAGTAGCTTTCAAAATATTTTAAAATTATGTCAATTTAATAAACTCCATTAAATGATACTATTTTAGTGTTTTGGTATTTTTGTGTAATATTTATTAAAATAATATAATTTTAAATTTTTTTTTATTTTTTTTTGTGTGTAAGTTTAGGGAATAAAATATAATCTAAAATATATATAATCTTATTTTTTTCAAGTTTAATTATTTTACTTCTTTATTAAAGATGCTTTTACTTAGTTGAAATTCTTTTAAAACCATGGCATTCTCACTAGGACGGGGAATGAAAGAGGATAATTAGGGATTGGTTAAAGAGAAATATTTAAAATATTAATAATATTATAGTTAAAATATCACATATTATAATTTTATATAATATTAAATAACAATTTAATTATATAATATTATAAATATGACATTTTCTTTAAAACATGATGCCATCTCAATTTTTACTCTTTTATTTTTCTCTCTTAAATTCTAGAGATTTAACGCATTTAGTGTGAAGAATCTAAGAGCATTGACGTATTTTAGTGATATATTTTTTTAAATTAACATGAGTATCAATCGTCAACCACTTAAATAAATTAATGATTAATTTTTTATTAAAAATAAAATATCCTGAATTTAAATTACGTGATATGTAAATGATATAAGATAAGACATTATAGATGATTATTTTTTATTATGCAATCAAAATTAAAAAAAAAAAAGAATCTCAATTAACAATGTTTTACTCTCTTATTATATCACTAATTTACCCTTATTAACAATTTTGTTTGAAAAGACTCTCCACCTTTGATTTCTTTTTGTATTCTTTGGTTATAAATTCCCACACGTTAGAGATGAATCGTCGGTTCCAACATGGCCGTGGGTGGTTCTTGCTTTCGTGGTTGAAGTGGAAAGAACAAATTGAGAAAAAATAAAAAATAAAAAACAGTAAAACGGATACTCGCCTGATTTGGTGTTAAGAAATAACGAGTAAAGATTAGCATTAAATTTTTTTTGTTCAACTTGTAAGTTGTATTAATTATATTTTTTTATTAATTATTTAAATAAAAATATAAAAATTTTTATTTTTATTTTTTAATTCTAATAACATATGAACAAAATTACATATGTAAATTATTAATGATTTAAATAATCTAATAATTATTTTATTTTTTAAAAAATAAAAAATTTTAAATTTAAATCACATAACATGCAAGTAGAATAAAATAAGAGACGAAAGATAATTACCTTCCACAACCAAAATAAAAAAATTATCTATGTAAATGCAGACCAATATTCTTTCTGACACCACTTAGATATCTTATCCAGTGCACTTAAATACCTCCTTAAATGTGTACGCGAGTTAAAAATTACCTATGTAAATGCATTTTTATTCAAAGGGTTTTTTTAATATGTATTTTTAAAAATGCAGTTATTATATATTTTGATATTAATTAATATTAAAAAATAAAAATTTATATTTATTTAAATAATTGTTTAAATTATCAAAAATTTATATTAAAAAGTAAAATTAATTTTTAATATATTAATTATTTAATAAAATTTATTTACTTAATATCAATATTAAAATTAATTTTAATTTTTATATTTTTAATGTATATTTGTGATTAAAGAATTAAGTTAACACTAAAAAAAAAAAAAGATTTTTAGTGATGAAAATTTGTAATAAATTTTGAAATTGTCACTATAATTCATTATAATTGTAACAAATTTTAAAAATTAGTCACAAATGTACACATATTCAATGATGATGAAAAAAATTCATTACTAAAAAGATATTTCATCACTGTTACAAAAAAATATAAGCTTATAATGAAATAATTTATCACTATAATTCATCACAATTAT